TTTGGCGTAAGTAAATTACAGGATCCATCTTTGATGTTCCAAAATGAAAAATGGATTTTAATATTACAAACATAATGCACTCGATTTGATAAATGTTTTTTCAAAAAAGAGTAACAATTAACTACTGGATCATACAGTAATTAGTGATATTGATGCAAACTCCTATGTTTGGTTTCTGAGAAAATAAAAATGAAAACAAAAGCTGACCACTCAAAATTGCTCACAATCAGCATCAAAAGAAAACAAGATGCTGCATCACTAATGCATTGCTATCATATCTTGTTGTTTCTTAGCAACCTAACAAGGCAACTAGCAAACCCAGATCTAGGTTTTCTAGTTTCTCAAACCTTTTCTCCTTTTCCTCTCCACCTTCGGTACTCCTTAAATTAATTTAGATTTGAAGCTGGTTCAAGGCAATTATGTGGTGGTTGGGGTTTCGCCAATGCCAAAGCTTTAAGGGGTCACATGAAGGCCCATCTTGCCACCCTTCCCCTTCCTCCCAAGATCAGTGACGACGATGGTGATGATGACTCTGCTTCTCCTTTGTTGTCTTCTTCCATGGAGAAGCAAGAGCAGGAGCAGGAGCAAAGAGTAGTAAAGCAAAAGCAAGGAAGTTCTAGAAGAGAAAGCTTTGGTTTATAGGTTGAGGAAGAATCCCAAGAAAAGTTTCAAATTTGTAGATCCTGGGTTCTCTTTCGCACCAGATTTTGGGTATGTTGTTCTAGGTCAAGAGAGTGAGATTGAGTTGAGAAATCCAACTGGTAAACGATCAAGGAGGAATCAAAAACCGATTACCTCGGAGGGTGGAAACCAGAATCTGGAAAGGGAATAGAAGTCGAAAGAGATGGAGAAGGAGAAGAAATGTTGGGGAAGAGTGAAGAGGAAGGGGAGAATAACGAAGAAGAAGGTTAATTTTGAAAATGATTTTAATTAATTAATAATAAATGGTTTTTATTTATTTGTTTAAAACTAAAAATGCCACATGAACAAAATAAAGTGCCATATCATCAATTTTTGTGTGTTATCTTTTCCACATCAGTATTTTTTCAAAAAAAAAAAAAGAAGAAGATTTGCTGGCATTTTAACATGCCACCTATCATTTAACTGACGGAAGGACCATTTTGATACCGAAAATGAAATTTTGAGGATAATTTTAGTACTTTTTAAAGCTAAGGTACAATTTTGGTGCCAAAGTGAAAAGTTGAGGGACCAAAATGGTACTTAAACAAAAAAAAAAAAAAAAAACAAATAGCTTCGAATTTGAAGGGTTTTTTTTTTTTTTGAAAAGCAAAGACAATTTCCATTATAGGAGTACTTGGTGTACTCCAAACCTTTTACAGGGATATATGTGCTTATTCAGCAACTAATTCCCCTAAAATACATATAGCCTTAGAAATAATCGAGTGCCCCTTCCTATGAAAGCAGTTGCTTACCCTGGTATTGTCACCCTGTTTTGCCTTTTTCTTGCTGCAACACCTCTTAAGCAAGATACCGGGTCCTGGATCCAATTAGATAATGAAAAAAGATAGATTTTCTTTCTGCATTTCATCCAGTTGAAGGACCTTAGTTGAACCAGTTCAAGCAGCCTGCATTTGTCAACTTCTTTTCCTTTAAGTATGTTGTCATTTCTTGCAAACCAAACTGTCCACACAACTACAAACCATATGCACCTCCAGCCCTCTTTTATTCCTGCCACTTTGAGAGCCAAAGGATGCTGTTGAAATACCTTACACCTTTCTTTGTCCAGCGCTGTTCTAATTCCCCCACCACCTGAAGCAAGCATTCCACAGATCATATGCCACTTTGTAGTGCGTGAATATGTGGCTGGTTTCCTCTATTTGGTGCCCACAAAATTCACATTTACAATCCTCCATGTTTTGAATTATACCTCTTTTGAGAAGATTTGCCTTTGTAGGGATTTTATCCTGTAGAAGTTGCCATGAAAATGCTGAAACCTTATTTGGCACCATTGCGTTCCATACTTTTTGAAGGGTCACTCCTAGTTGTTCCCGCTCGAGCTCCATTGTGAGAGCCTTGTAAGCAGACCTTGTTGTGTATACCCCATTGTTGCTATGTATCCACTCCCATACATCAGTTTTTCCTCTTGTGATTATTGTTTCCTGAATTTCCTTCAAGATCTCTGATTCTTCTTGGACTTCCCAGCTATATAACCTTCTCCTCCACTGCAATTTCCATATCCAGATGCCATTGAGCCACCATCCCATCTGTGAAACTGTATTATCTTTACCTGCAGATATTAAGTAAAGTCTTGGGTATTTGTTAGCCAATATTCCTCTCCCACACCAATCGTCCCACCAGAATTTTACACTATCCCCCTCTCCTATTTTAATTCTCAGCCCCTTTGCTAACCAACCCTCATTCTCCTGATCTATGACATTCAACCTACATATATCCCTCCACCATCTTGATCCGAAACCATTACCCTCCCTCAACCAATTATATCTTGGTTCCCCGTCCCTGCCATATTTCTACAGTATTACTTTTTTCCATAGTCCATCTTCCTCATTAACCAATCTCCCCCACAACTTCCTTAGCAAAGCTAGATTAAACTTCCTTAAATCCTTCACACCTAATCCCCCCCTTTTCTTTGTCCCTACAAACCTTGTTCCATCTAACCCAATTTATTTTCTTTCCTCCCTCCACCCCTCCCCATAAAAATCTCCTACGGAGTTTATCAAGAAATAGAATCGTACCTTTCGGGATCATGTACATGGACATCCAAAACACGAGTAGACTGGACAGCACTGAGCTAATGAGAGTGATTCTTCCTCCTAGAGATAAGTATCTCCTTTTCCACGTGGATAGTTTTTTGGTCACGCCCTCCAGCACTGGTTTCCAAAATGACAGCTTCCTACACCTCCCCCCAATGGGTATCCCCAAATACTTAAAAGGCAAGTATCCTTTTTTGCAGCACAATACCCATGCCATTTTGTCTAACCACCTCTTCCTTTTCTCCGATGCCAATGAGCTGACTTTTGTTAAAATTTATCTTTAGCCCCAATACCAACTTGAATGTCCTCAAAATGCTCTTCATAGCCCATACATTTTGATCAGTAGCAGTGCCGAACACCAATGTGTCATCTGCATATTGGAGATGTGTGACCTTGAAACCTTTATCTCCCACTTTTACACCTTCAAGTAGACCTTTCTCCACTGCATTCAAAACCAGCCCATTAATCCCTTCTACAATAATCAAAAATAAGAATGGAGATAGTGAATTGTCTTGTAGGGGCTGCCATTGACCAAAACCGACACCAAACTTGAACTTAAGCACTCCATAATCCATTTTCTCCAAGTATTTGAAAAACCCGTCTTTTGCAACATAAAATCAAGAAATCTCCAGCTAACCTTATGGTAAGCTTTCTCAAAGTCATATTTAAACAAAAATGCTTCCTTCTTCTTCTTTTTTACTTCATCAATGACCTCATTTGCTATTACAACCCCATCCATTAATTGCCGACCGCTTAAAAATGCCATTTGTTGTTCACCAACTATTCCAACGAGCACCTTCTTAAGTCGGTTAGCAAGTAACTTTGCAAGGATTTTGTACATTCCCCCGATCAGCGAAATTGGTCTATACTCTTCTATTTTCTATGGATTCTCAACTTTTGGCACAAGAACTATGAATGATGTATTTAGACCCTTCACAAGTCTGCCATTCTTCTGAAATTCATGTAGAAATTCAATAACATCCCCTTTGATTGTCTCCCATTCACTCTTGATGAATTTAAAATTGAAGCCATCAGGTCCCAGCGCTTTTGAACTTTCATAGTCCCAAACAGCCGTCTTGATCTCTTCTTAGTAAAAGATGCAATGAGGAAGTCATTATCTGTTGGGGAAATTTGTTTGAATTGGAGTCCTTCTAAAGATGGTCTCATCCACTGCTCCTCCGTGAATGTTTCCTCAAAAAAGGTGGCAATTTCTTCTTTCAATTTATTAGCCTTTGTAATCTGAACTCCCCTTACATGAATGCTATTCATTTCATTCCTCTTCCATCTCCCCTTCACACAATTGTGGAAACATTTCGTGTTTGCATCTCCATTCACTAGCCTTGCTTTCCTAGATTTCTGCTGCAGCATACTCTCTTTGTATCTAATGTTGTCCCACAAAATCAAGAATGCATGTCTTCTTCTCTTAACCTCTTCCTTAGATAGCTGAACCGTCTCTCCTTTCACATCTAGCTAAGAGATCTCTGCCGTAGCATCTCTTATTCTTCTTTCAATTTTCGAGACAAGGTTTTTGCTCCATGCCTTCAACGCCTCTTTGGTGTTCTTGAGTTTTTCTTTGAGATGAAATTCGGCCCACCCATGAATTTTTTCCTTTCTCCATGCTTCTCTTATCACTTACCAACACCCTTCTTGCTTTAGCCAAACATCAAAGAATCTGAATGGCTTAGGCCCCCAATTCACTTTTTGATGTCTAAAAAGGATTGGGCAATGGTCGGATACAGTTCTGGTTAGTCCCCACTGTGTTGCCTCCCCCCACTTATTCAACCACTCTTCAAACAATAAGAACCTATCAATTCTACTCATCAACTTGCCACTCGGTTGGTACCATGCGAATTTTCTTCCCACTAATGGTATATCGATCAGTTCTTATTCCATTATGAAGTTGTTAACTCCCTCATCTCAATAGTTACTGTTTTGTGTCCTACTTTCTCCTCTACATTCTTTACCGTGTTAAAGTCACCCACAAGACACCATATCCCTCTTGTCTGCAAAACTAATTTTTTTAATTTCCCCCATAAGTTTCTTTTACCCGCTAAGTGACATGGAGAATAAATATTGATGATATTAACACAAACATCCTCTGCTACCCACCTCCCCTATATCCCGATGAAATTCTCTACCTCCCAAACTTTCATCATTCTAAGTGCTTTAGAATTCCATACACAGACCATACCTCCTGACAATCCTGTCGAATCCTTAGCCACCCAATCAAACTCCTCTGTTCCCCACAACAAACTACAAAATTTTCTATCTATTCCACTCTTCTTAGTTTCCTGAATTGCTAGGAAATCCACACCTTCTTTATTCACTAAATCTCGAACAATTCTCTTCTTCTCGACAACCCCCAATCCTCTAACGTTATATGACAAGATATTCATTAATCACAGCACTCACCTTCTGTTCCTTACTTTGACGCTTCAAGCTTTTTGTCTCCTTTGTTGTTCTATCTCTTGTCTCCATCTCCTCAAGTTTCTTGATGACCGATTCTTCTTCCTCTACAACTACCCTTATCTTCTTCGCAAACTTCCATATATTAGTAGCATTCTGCTTGTTGGGGAGTTCCTTTAGCAGTCTATTACAGTTCTAAATACCGCTATCTCCTCCAGATCCACCCACTATTGAGTTGCTTGTGCTTGGCAGGAACACCGGCACTGCTTCTTCCTCTGCTTGCCTCATGCCAGATCTGCCCCTGCTTTTCTTCTTCTGTTTCATGAATCCAAGAAGGATTGATTTTTGGTATACAGAAGTGCACGATTTGTTCCTTTTCTTTCTCTTTTTCTTGTCCTTTTTCTGTGTTGTGCCCGTCTCTTCTTCCCTGCTCCCTTCTATACTACCCATCTCGTCACAACATGAGCTGCAATTCTCTAGAATATTCGTGCCTTTGTTTTCTGCATTTTCTTGTGAATCCTTCTTTTTTACTTCCCCGTCGAGCCTCATTTCAATCCCTGTTTGTGGACTGTCATATAGTCCTTCACCGGCCCAATTTTCTTTTGGCATTCCTTCATCGGCCCATTTTCCTTTTGCAACATATCCATCTAATGGATCACTACTGGATTGGATGTCCAGCCCATAACTTCCCAAACTTGTTATAGGGTTTGAATTTGAGAAAGTCTTCAACTTAAGTCCTGATTCACACATTCCAATATCATCTCTCTCCCCTGCGTCATCCTCTTCCATATCCATTTCAAAATTATCTGCTACCACATCAACAGACTCTTCCTCACCTATTCTGCTATGTGAGAGCCTATCCTTCTTTTTGGACCATTCCTCATCATTGCTCTTTCCTTCAAATTCAAATTTTTCTTCTGAGTTTGAAGTGACAGCCAACCTGCTTCCTCTCTCCTTACTCAGAAATGTTTCTCTGCCTGAGATTTCCTCGCCGGTGTTACCTCCAATTTCTGCTCCCCCACTATCTTCATCTAAGCCTGCTATACAATTAGAGGAATCCGACCAAGACTCATCAAGTTCTGAGTCACTATTATAAGGCTTGATTTTGTTGGAAGGCCATTAAGGAGGAGGCGCTATCCAAAGCAGTTGATCTTTGATGGGATTAATCTGCCCCATAGCCTTTTGCAGATATGTGGTTCTAAAATTCCATTCTTACTAGTGATCAACAAGTAGGCCTTATCGACTGTATATCCATTTCCAGTATCAAAGCTCCAGCTTCTTCGATCCGGTTGAGATGATAGTGCTACCTCACCCAAGAGGATCTAATTTAACCTTTGTTCTTCATCCCTTTCCCTGCCAAATGTATCACGTCTCCAAATATGTTCCAAACTCCGGGATCCATTAGAGTAGTGTCCCATTTCCATAATAGTTACATTCCTATTAGGTGCCAAATTAAAGAGTCTAGGAAAGGTTACACTAAAAGGTTCAGTTCCTACCCACTTGTCCCTCTAGAATTTAATTTTATCTCCCATTCCCAACTTGTAGCAGAACCCATTTCTAAACACCCAAGACCCTTTACCCCCCCTCTGTGCCTAGTGCCACTATATTTCTCCACAAAGTAGATACATTCCTAGCTTGTGTATGTTCAATATCCCACTCCATGCCACCACCATAATACTTATCAACAATAACTTTCTTCCATAGACTATTTTCTTCCTTCCCAAATCTATCCTACCACTTTCCTAATAAGGCTATATTCCTATTCTCAATATCTAGCACACCTAGACCTCCCTCACTTCTACCTCAACATACTTTCTCCCAACTCAACCATGCTAGCTTACTATTCTCCCTCGTATATCCCCACAAAAATTTCCTTTGTAAACACACTAATTCATGTAATACAATTTTGGGGATTTTAAAAATAGACATAAAGTAAATAGGGATGGTAGAGAGAACAGACCCTAGCAACGTAACTCGACCACCAATCGATAGGCACTTCGCTTTCCAGACTACCAGCTTTCTATTAAAATTCTCAATAATTGGAACCCAGGCTTTCCTTCTGCACATAACATCCCCAATTGGCATCCCAAGATAGGTGAAAGGGAGAGATCCTAATTTGCAATTCAACATAGCAGTCGTTGTTCTCCTCCATTCATCGAGAACATAAAATGAATACAGCACACTTTTGTTGAAGTTGATCTTTAGACCCGAAATCAGTTCAAACCATCTCAAAATCCCTTTCACAACATTAATATTAGATGTATTTGCCTTCCCCATAATTACAGTGTCGTCAGCAAATTGGAGGTGTGAAATGTTAAGACCATAGGGGCCTACATCAATTCCTTGAAATAATCCCTTACTAGTGGCTGATTCTATCAAAATATTCAATCCTTCAGCGACAATTAGGAAGAGAAACGAAGCAATTGGGTCGCCTTGTCTAATTCCCCTCTCCATTTTGAATTCATCTGTTGGGCTTTCATTAACAAGAATTGAGATTGAAGCCGTTTGCAAACACTCCTTTATCCA